TGAAGTACTCCCAACCAAGCAGTTCATAGCTCATTAAACAAGTCCTCTCTTCCATTAGATCATTCCTCAGACATTATCCCCCACATGGAACCAGACGCTGCTCTTCAATGAGATTGTTCTTCATGGTGACAGAGAAGAGATCGCTCAGTTCCCACCGGAGATCGTCATCGAGCTGTACGATGATGATGCAGTGGTAAACTCAAAATTCTTCTTAGTAAAAATCTGTGTTCTTACATCCTAATGCCAGCATGAAAGCAAAGCTGAGTCACTGAAGAGGCATTAAATGGATGACCTTGCTGAATGGAGCTCAGTGTTACCGTGGTTTGCAGTTTATAGTCTGAGAACAGCCCTAAGACTCGCTTTATGTCCTTGCAAATCTGTTATCCTTGTTTTTTTCCAAGTGAATCCTGCTCCCAAAGACCAGTTTACAGAAATCAGAAGCATCTTACCCCCACCTCCCTTGTGCACAACTGTAAACATTGTATCTAAGTCTAGGGCAAGACAGATTTTACTCTGACCAGGCAGACTCCGAGTCTCACTGACTGAATATAGAGCTCAGAAACTTTGGATGGTCTGAAGAGGCATTGCATTTTGCATTGCCCTTTCCTTCAGAAAGTTTTTTTCACAAATACTGTGCTCTGCATCATCGTGTCTCCTATGACAGCTGTGAAATCCAAATGCATTTGACACCTGTATTCTCCTTTATTTAGGGTAAGGCAGAATATATTGGGTCTACCGTGGCTGCCCCTGTGGTGAGACTTGCTCATCAAAACTATGAAATACCTAAACTTTCTTACCACCCAGTGCACTGTGGAAATCTCTCAGGAGGAGACCTTCTTGCTACGTTTGAGCTTCTGGAGGTAAACTAGACTTTCTAGACCATTTCACCTTTATATCCTGTGCTCACAAAAGCTGCCATGCATCAAGGTCCATCATCCTCTTGAATCAATGGGAATTGCAGCAGGAGCTATTGGACCTCACAGTCCCCATGCAATCTGTCACCCACTGCATCCACCCTGTTAGGGGCCACTGTCCATGCACACACCACTGCCTGCACTTTGCATACTCTGGGTCTCCTTTGCCTTACACTTGCCCTGCCCTAAACTCTGCTCTGGCCTGGAAACAGCTGTGAAAATCCCAATGCCTTTGCAGTGACCTGCTATTTGGAGTAGCACATGGCTCTGACTTTACCAGAGCTCTCAATGTTGCTTTAACACTTAGGGAAAGGAAGTGGCGTATATTACAGACAGGATTAGGGAGTCTGAATTTTCAGATACCTGTGCTATATTAAAAGAAATATTGCATGGCTTCCAACTGTGAGACAAAAGCAAATTCAGCTTACATCTGGGGACAGCCTGGCAGATGCATGAGTGGGGTATATCATGCCCAGGATTTCAGGGAGTTTCAGTGAAATGTGCAGAGCCACCAGTTAAAGGAAACTTCTATCTGCTGAAAACCTGCAGCAGTTTATTCTGAAGTGAAACATGTGAAAGATTGTGATATGTTTTACAGATAGAAACAGGCTTTTAAGCATGATGGTTAATTATGGTTTGGGTGAAAACCTGATATAGGACACCATGTGGAATATTTCCTCATTATGTGGGTACTAAGGGAGACTACTAACTTAGCCATAATTTTCTCTTTTTTTAATTGAATTCCACTTTTTGATGAACAAAAGAGTGTTGTATTTTGTTTTGGTATTTTTTGGGACAAAGAAACAGCACTATTTCTGGGAGATATTCAAATACAGTCCAAAGAATTCTATAGAGAGTTGACAAGAAGTGTAAGTAAAGACGCTAGAGTCCTTATTTTCATGCTCTGTATTATTCTTTTCAGTGACATCACTGTAGAACATATCACATGGCAGATAATAGGAATATGAACATAAAGGAATTTTTCAGGAAAAGGTACATGTATATAAACATCTGCCAGGCTTCAAAGCACTCCCAGAGCTGATATGCCAGTGGCTGCTTCCAAAATCAGGAAATTCCTGATGATGCATTGTGTGAGGATGGAAACAAAAATCTAATTACTGATATATTCTTATTCTCAACCCATAACCTTTCCTATGACATTCTGTGCTCAGTAACTGTGATCTGCAGGGACTGTTTGGTTCAGCTGAAGAAGTGTTGTGTAAGAAGCAAATGCTCTTTTCTCAAAATGAATGCTGAGTCTTGCTGGAGGAATAAAATAATTCTTATAACAAAGCATTCTGACTTTTAGATAAATAGTCAACTAAAAAATACAGATTAGTGAATACCAGGAGCCTTGATTTTGCCCAAAGTGAGCTCAGAGTTTACCTACTTTTGCTTTTAAATCAAGAAAGCAAAATCCCTTTGTAAACACTCCTTGTAGGTACTTTAGTCTACTGTCATTTGAGTGCTAGATCACTTCTTGTTCTGTGCACTTATTAATTTTACTGATAAAAGGTAGATCACATTTGTATGTGAATTATTGCTGCTAATTATGTAAATACTCACCTATGCTGCAGATGTTATGCTAGAAATTACATTTTCCAGCCATCTCCTCCTTCCCCTGCAAGGTACTAGAGAACACATTCTTTCTCCCTTATGGTAATTAAACTCCCACACAACTGTACATAGACAGATGACCTAATTAAATGAAGCAGAAGGCTTTAACTTCACAGATCCTTTGAGAACTGTATCTCACTCACTTCGCCTTTCAACAGTGACAAGTTAGCTTAGGAACATTGATGCACTCCAGAAGTTGTGTTTCCTTTTCCCAGAAGCTGTATGTACAGTACAGGATGGGAGTGATCATCAGGTGCTGGCTTCAGCTGTTTTATGTAGAAATTTGCTAAACCAGACCAGGCTTCAGATCTGCCTTGTATGGACTGAGAAGGTCATAAATACACTGTTAAAAATTAGGAAGGAGTTCGGAAATGAAGTCTAGGAGCTTTCCAATAAGTGAACCAAACAGGCAGCAAAGCCTGGAGCACAGAAAGAGGCAGAGATGGTCAAGCCTCAGAGCTGTGGTGGAGCCTGCTCTCCTCCCATGCAACTGGTACAGAACAGTTGTGTACACCCAAATAAGCTCCTGAACGTGGGGCAGGCTTATGTGCAATCATGCACAAAGAACATAAATGCTGCTTTCCACAAGATTTTAGGAGCTGCACAGAGGAGACCCAGCCCTAACACTGGACATGTGATTTGCAAGTTCTCCAATGGTAAGAGCATGCAATAAAACAGGAACACCATTTCATATCAGCTGGAGAGTATTATGTTTCTCTGGCAAATGTGTGGTTTAGCTGACATGTACTGCTTGTTCACCAACTCTTTTTAACTAAAATCAGATCTAGAATTTTCCTATGAAAGTCTTCTAAGTAGTTTGCTCAGGATTTTTGTTAAATAGAATTACCATGCTTTCCATTTTTAGTAAACAGAATTATCTTGCTTCAGCACATGCATGTCTTTAGGGCAGACTATGTCCTGCTAGGACAAAGGAGCCCTTTTCTGTGAGGTGCATAAACCCAATCTATTGAATATTCTTCCTGCCAAATGTTTTAGCGGGATAGACAGCAATCTAGGTCACATTCCTCTCACAGCACAACTGTTCTGTTCTGCAATGTGTCTTATAAAAATGCATTAAATTGGTGTGTTCCATGTGCCATTCACAGATACTTCTGATACTGGTTTTATTCTTTCAAACACCAGCCTAAGTTATGACTGCTTCATTTTTCAGATTCCTGATTCAGATCCAGACAGACTTCCCCCACTGGATCCACCAGATGCTGGCCAGATTTACCCAGTCCCAGCCAACATACGACCTGTTTTAAGCAAATACAGAGTGGAGGTGAGTTACTTAGAATATTTCCATTTTCAAATCTCAGCTCCTTTTATTTTCTTATTGAACTGTAACAGTAAGGGATTATGATTTTAAAATCCTGATCAATAGGAATCACATGAAAATATCATATAGATGCCAAAATGAATGTGGTAAGCTCAGATCAAATTGTTTCTCTGAGGTTGGACATGCAAGGTAGTGCATCCACTGAGGTCAGCAAGGGCTAGCTACGTCTCAGTCCTGACCTGCTGGGAAGGGACTGTTCCTATGGAAGGGCCTGGCTGATGGACCTGTGCTCGGTGCAGCCCAAGGAGGTGTCTACAGGAGATGGAGAGCTTCCCCTTGCAACTGACATCACTGGAGCTGAAATTTGGCACCAGCCACCTCCCAGGCTTCTTCTGGGTCCCAAGCCTCAGCCAAACAATGCTTTCTGCCTGCATACAAATGTCCACACACCTTCCCTGCCCTTCTCTCTTGCACCCTTTGGATCCGAGGTACCCTTGTGCTAGAAAGTAGGGAAACATGGCAGGTTTTTTAACCAGTGTCATACCTGGATGCTGCCCAGCCTCGCCACTCACTGTCACTCATTCTTCAGCATTCACACCACCGGCTTATTTGCCCGTTTTTCCATACCAAGTCAGACTTTGCTTGTGTTACTTGATGGCTCTTTCTCAGAAACACTTCTTCAGGAGCACAGAAGCAATTCCAGTTTTGCAGTCAAAGATCCAACAATCTGCTGGAAACGAGAGAACAATTACTAGTTCTGGTATATCATTTAGTTAATCTATTGCTTTCTGTACATAGGAAAGAGGTTTTGTTAGCAGTATTCTTTTTTTTTTTGCACCTGTTACTGTGCGGTTAAATAACCACATGAACTACTCTGCTGATGCAAAACAGACAACCTAATCCTTAAACTTAGTTCTAAGAATTGCGCTATGGAGGTCTTCCCATCACCCACACCACATGACTGCTTTGTGCTGCTTGTACATTTCTATTTCACACTGCTGGGACATTCATCCCCATTAGCTCTAGGTCACCCAATGTAGAAGCATTCTCATTGCAGGCTTCTTGTTTGGACAGCTATGCAGAGCAGTCACCTTTCCAGACTGTTTCAGGTCTTAAAAAGATTAAATTATGTTTAGGAAGCACATCTCTGTATCCTCTGTTTCTGGAGGGACCTCAGGACAATTGCACTTCTCCATCTGTTTCCTCAGGCACCTTAGAAGTCAAGGAAATTGCATGCAGATCCAGACAACTAAATTCCTTTAAGAACAGCTTTATAGTTGAAGTTAATGTATATAGGGGAAAATGAGGGTATCCAGCAAGGAATTAACACAGAATGAATATAACACAACTATTTTTCTTAAGATATTATAAACTATATCTTGCACTGGTGGAAAAGGCCATGAAGCCACTGCAAGTATGCCAGTGTGCCCCGATTTTAACTGGGAACCTTTAGCAACAGAGCAGGATCTCATCAATCCTCACACTTCTCCAGTGCCCCTTACCACACCCTGACTCACACAAATCAGCAGTCCTGCCAGTGTTCAAGTTGTCCACAAAGCCTTCCACTCTCCCTTTGGATTCCAGTCTTCATTTCAGGTTCATGAGACTCACACCTTCACACACCAACCGTAGCATAACCCTATTTCACTGTCCCAGCCTTCTACTTCAGGGCCTCCTGGCATGTGCTGTGTGAAGTACCATTTTTCCTGAAGACCTCTGTTTTTCAGACCCAGTCTCCTCGCTGTCCTCCGGGCCAGGAGTACAGTCCTTTAAAGGAAAGCTGTTTGGAGACCTCCCACCACCCAGTGCAAACCTGAGGGCTAGCTCAGCTGGCAAACTTCTGTTAATCCCTCTGCCCCTGTGGGATATGTTTGCTCCCTCAACAGTTCTGATACTTGAAACAAACCAAGCCTCTGTTTTTCAGATGAACAGTCCCCTTGCCCTGCTGAAATGACAATTTTTGCAAATGTGATTATTATGGCTTGCTGTTGGCAATAACTCATTGATAACAGTTGAATGTTATTAATTGTTTTAACTTCCATCGTTAATCTTGATGGTTATTGGATATAAGATTTAAGGGGCTTTTTTCTGGTAGTTGTGCATTCCCAATAGAATATGTGGTGACAGGATCCCAATAATGGCTTTCCCCAGACTGGGGGATTTCTGCAGGATAACGGTGCTTCTGTCTGCACACAGGTCTTGTTCTGGGGTGTTAGAGAGCTGAAGAAAGTCCAGCTCCTCTCTGTAGATCGCCCCCAGGTTCTCATCGAATGTGCTGGGAGAGGAGCGAAATCCACTGTCATACAGAGCTACAAGAAAAATCCCAATTTCACTGGCCTTGCAGGCTGGTTTGAAGTGGTACGTAGAGCATGGTGCTCTTTGCCTGTCTGTTCTCTGGTTAGACAAGGTGTTAATTGCCATTTTCCTTCCTTTCTTGTCAAATAATTTCCTCTGTGTCTTGATTAAATACTATGGGATATCAGTTCTTTGAAAAACCTACTGATTTGAAGATGCTTTAAAAGACTTCTACTACAACTGTATGATAAAAGATGATGATGTTCACCATGTTATGTCCTAAGTAAACTAGAAAATAGGTTGAATCAGATTTTTACTGATAGGTTGGAACTTGTTGGCAGATAACAGGGATATATTTAGCACTTTTCCCTCCTCTTTTCCCATTTTGCAGGGTAGTACTCCGTTTCCTTTATTTTCTTTCCATTCTTTTAATTTTTCTTCATATGTTACTGGACTATTAAAGGGTTTGATCATTTCTGTCTTATGAGCTCTGGACCTTTTCATACAATTACACTTGCTTTTATGAACTGGAAAATGATGTCCTGTTGGTTGGGTTATAGGAGCTGGTACTTTCAGTGGAAAAAGGTCAGCATCAGAAAAATTAGTCTGTTCAGTTTGCTCTTGTTGCTAAGATCAAGAGAGAAACTTATTCATAAGAGAAAAGGATATCAAAACACTGACCTGAATACTGAAGTACATTTTCTACAGTAATTTTGTCTTCCATTGTATGTCACTTGTTCAAAGAGCTGTTTTCCCTTTGGTAGTTCATCTTATAAGGTTAATAGCCTTCAACACAGCAGCAGTGGCATTAAGACTCACAACTTCCAACACGGCATTCATTCCTGATTCTCTCTGTGTGTTAGAACAAGAGATGCTTGTATATGACAGCATGGGACTCAACTCAGCAGCGCAGTCTGTCCGGTCAATTCTGTATTCTTAAGGACAAGGCCTTCTCCAGATTTTGCAGAACTTATAAGGTTAATAGCCTTCAACACAGCAGCAGTGGCATTAAGACTCACAACTTCCAACACGGCATTCATTCCTGATTCTCTCTGTGTGTTAGAACAAGAGATGCTTGTATATGACAGCATGGGACTCAACTCAGCAGCGCAGTCTGTCCGGTCAATTCTGTATTCTTAAGGACAAGGCCTTCTCCAGATTTTGCAGAAAGGATGAAATACAGTCTGTCCGGTCCATTCTGTATTCTTAAGAACAAGGCCTTCTCCAGATTTTGCAGAAAACCATGGATGAAACTATACTGCCTGCACTGTGTGCATTCTGCATTTTGTGTATGTTAATAGCTGAGGAGGAGAAGGGAGGGAAGAGTAAAAGCTTCATTGCTTTGCATGAGAAATATTCTATACGTGCTCTATATTCTCTAGCAATTCTCACCCTGCTGTCTGTCCTGCTGCACTAGGAGCTGCCTGAAAATGAACTCTTGCATCCACCACTAAGCATCTGTGTGGTCGACTGGAGAGCGTTTGGGAGGAGTACCCTTGTTGGAACACATACCATCAATTGTCTTAAGCAATTCCTATGTAAAATCCCATTGGGTCCTCAAGCTGCACAAAACAGACTAGACATTGCAGAAACCGAGAATGGTAAGTGTTCAGTTCTTACTGGAAATAAAAAGACAAAGGACCTACTTAGAGGCTTAACACTTAGTATATATTTTATGTGTTGAGCATAGGATCAAACCCTTGATCACATGATTATTTGCTGACCATAAAATGCTATGATAGCATTTCTGGCAAAATTTTACCTAACTTGCAAATTTTCGACTTCAGCTTCACCTGAGTCATCCCAGCCTGCTGAGTTATCCCGAGAAGAACCATTTTTAACTGATCACATCTATGCTGAGGTGAAGCAGGGTAAATATACTGTGGTAGAGCCAGACCCATTTCTTGCAACACTTCCTGCCACTGAACCAATGCACTCTGATCCAAGGAAAGAGAGAAAAGGGAAGGTGGGTAGAGGTGAAGCTGCCAGTTAACTTTCTCTTGCAGAATTTAGCCCTTCCTTGTAAAATAGTAATGTCTTGCTGATCTCATATTTAGGGGCATTGGGCACTGATGCTAACACCCATGCTGTTTTGCTGGCCCTCAAGAGAACTAGTTAGCAATGCAGCTTTGACCCCACTTAATTTCATTACTTCCATGAATCTTACAATGGGAGAAACCCATTTGTATCTGAATGTTTGCATCCCTTAAAACATCATTACTTATATATCTCTGTAGATTTGTGTGTTTTATGGGTTGCCTCAGGAGCAATGTCTCAAATGTTCAAAGTTTTGACACTGTCAGTAGGAAATATAGAAATAACATGAATAATATGACAATCATAGTGAAGTGTCTTGGAATAAAAGGCAGAGACAGTAATACATTTTGCATTTTATTTAGCTTTTGGAGGTCGAAATTTTCTACATATACATCTATTCATGCTTAATGCCATGAGACAGGTGAATAATTTTAATCAGTTCTAGGGTTCAACACTGTTTTCTCCATGCTTTGGTAGGATATGAAAAAATCTATTGGACGTTCAACAAAGAGGAGAAAAAGAACAATTGCAGATGAATCAGCTGAAAATGTTATTGACTGGTGGTCAAAATACTATGCTTCTGTGCTCAAAATGCAAAAGGTAAGTCACACAGTATGCCCAGAACTCTCATGGATGCACAATGTTGTAAAAGTACATTTACTACTGAAAGATTCCTTTTCAATATTACTTTCATAATGAGGAGTTTGTCCATCATCTTTTTCTTTTGAAAGGCAAAAGGAATTTTTTCCAGTGAAGGAAAACCTGAAGACAGTAAGTAAATTATTAGCATTTTTTATATTATTTTGCACTAATAATACTTTGATTCTCTGCTATTGTACTACCAACAATTAACATCTGGTAACAGGGTACTGCTGGCATACTGGGCTCTTTTCTCTACAGCTGATCAGATGGTGGATAAGTTAAGATTTCACAGCCAGGGATGGATTAGCATGAGTTTCCTGTAATTCAAATCTCACACACAAAAATTTGCAAAGTCGAAGTCCTAAATAATACAAGGTAGAAATTATTCTAATCTTAAATTGCATTTGTAACAGATTCAGAAGAGGAAGCTCCTCTCAATTTTGATTCCAACTCAGGATCAGTGATGTAGGAAGAGCTTCTGCTAGGAGACCCCATAGTCATGTGTGTTAATTCCATATCTGAAAAACTTCATCTAGCTCTGGTTCTAAGTGAAAATCTTTTGCTCAAGAACCTAAAAAAATCGGCCGGAAATAGGTTTTATATGTGTGTATGTATATGTGTCTCCATACATGTATATCCATGGCTTAACAGGTCCTCCCACAATCAAACTGAACTCTAGAAAATTTTATTTTTAGACAAATGTGAGTGATTGAGCAGGCTTGGAAAGAAAACAAATATTTACTGTTCACACAGAACTGCTATTCAGAATTACATTAAGCACGTTCCCATGCAAGAGCTGACTGCACTCTGACAGTGACTGAGGTGATTTCTGGTTTAAAGGAAGACACAAGACTGTTTAATGGAAGACACAACCTAAATGCCACTTGGCATCATTCTGGAAATAGCAGTTGATGGTGCCTCAGTGATCATCAGGGCTGCTGAGAGCCGAGGCAGATATCAGTTTCTGACTGAAGCTCACTTGTCCACATGAAGGAATATTGAGAAAGAATATGTTCTACAAAGTGTGATGTTCATGTAGAATTAGAAATTTACTTGACATTGTGACATCCACCCATAGGCTATTCAGGCAGTTGTGGCATATTGATTTTGACTGATGACTTCATGTCTTGTAAATGCTCTTCTGATAGTTTCTGTTATGTATTTTCACCTGTGATGATAAGCATTATACATACAGGGCAGCACTGATATTATATATATATTTCTAAATATTTAGCACTATCAAACACACACAAACTACTCAAAAAATGAAAGTAAAGTGAACTCAAAATCCAGATTTCAACAAAAGAATTTAATCATCTCAGTGCCATTTTTGAGGGCTCATTCTTTTTTGTTGGGAAGTCCCCTTTCAATGTTTGGAATCTGGCTTTAGGCTGGTCAGACACTTCCTCCAGTTTCTCATACTTCTAGGCTTTCACAAGGTGAGATACACCCGATATTTTGTGTTACCCTTTAAGCAGAAAAGGACTAGGGTAACCTCATACTGAAGTAGCAGTCAGCCTAAATAGGAACTTAAGTTTTAAATAAACCTTAAATTTTATATGAAAGCTATTAAGATCTGTTAGTTTGCACTGGGGAGGAGTCAGAGAGGAAGGAAAAGGGTGTTCTGGGAGATGGCTAGCAGGGAAGGAGTGATACAGGACACCATCACACTGGGTCCACCAACATCATCATGAAGACTGGTAGTCACAGAGGATAAAATGTCAACTTTCTGCCTGGGAGGAGCAGTGGGAAAAGAGAGGACCTTATGCCTGGTAGTAGAAGAATGAATGGAGAAGGAACAAGGGGGACTCTTTACGATGTAATTTGAATCCTTATCTGAAGCATTTGATGTTCGTTGCTTACTTAAACCTACATGATGTCATGAAATCTCTGCAGACAAGCAGACTTCTGACCACGTAGCACTGATCATAGAAGAGGAGCCAGACAAAAAGAATAAGAGTAAGACATTGCAAAGGAGACAGAAGGAAATTCCAAATCTAGCAACACTACAGGTAAGAGAGAAGTAAGACTAAGAGGTAAGGCTATTGTTATTCACCATCTCCCCAAAGTTTGACATCAGCAGCTGAGTTTGGCAAACCCTCTCCACATTTATTTCAGACACTTTAAGATGAATAGAACACACAAATTGACAGTGATAATACACTTCAGCACACAAGACCCAGAGGAAATCAGGGACTCATAGGGTGGATGTGGCCCATTTGGTCTTAGACATTCAATTTATCAGCATGGACAAAACCAGAGAGACTTCAGATAAAATTCAGTTTTGTTGTTTGCATGTAAAACACTGAAGCTGCAAATCCCAAATTTCATGTTGGAAACATACAGCCTATTACGAATCATTTAAAAAAGAGTATGGAAAGCATTGCTGTGATCACTAGTGCATCCTCCCTGATGGGAGATAATATTCAGCTCACATAAGATTCAGTTGGGTAATGATAGAAGAAATTCAAAGAAAACTATATGGGTCATGCAAAATGACTAGAGAGATGAGAGGTTTGAAAAGACTGGATTAGATTGTAGCTGAATAAAGAGGAATTTGAAACTTCTGTTTCCATTTTTTAAGAGATGGCAGTAGTATAGGCCCTTCTACTTCACACTTGATAAATTACAGGGGAGAGTATTGAAAAAAACCCACATGTTCTTTGAAAAATTATTGGGCCTTTTAAGCTGTCCTAAAGCTCTGTCCCCACAGCACTTTACTATTGTCTGCTTTACTCTGAAGTTTTGACACATTGGCATAGCAGAACGGCTCAGTACATCAAAGGCACAATGAAGAGAGGAAAATGAAGCAAAGAGCAGCACATCCACACTGTTTTTCACTCATACCAGTGCTTAACCTGTTCACTTTGGCCCCTCTTGAGTCACATCTACCTGCTGCATTAACACGTTATTTCAATAGTTGGGAAAGAATTTGGCTGAGGACAAAACTGGTCCTGTTTTAAAAGAGGAATTAACTTTTTCTCCTCATGGACTTTTGCCAAACCTTGGTTTTATTAGAATCTGTATTTTGAGTCAAAATGGATTTCTAGTCATTCTCTAATAAAAAAGTTGCTATAAATATATTCACTGCACCACAAAAAATAAGCATTCTTCTATTTTCAAAGATTTATGAAGGAGATTTGGAGAGCGAATTTAATAACTTTGAGGACTGGGTGAAAACTTTTCAGCTCTTAAGAGGAAAATCTAATGACGAAGTTCATGTTGATGCTGAAGACAGAATAATAGGAAAATTTAAGGTAAGCTTTAATGTTGATTAAATGGGTAATAATTTAGAGACTTTAGATTTTCATGCATATTTCAGGTATACTGAGGATGAAAGAAATAGACATTGAGTGTCTGTTGTAAATAGAATTGTCTCTTTTATTAGATCTAGCCATGTTTCTTCCTTTCCCTTTCTCTGACGGACAAAAGCAGCATCCAGCACCAGGTTGTCACTGCTGTTTTGAAACAAGGAATTACAAGGAGTTTGAAAGCTCAAGAGGGGAAGAAGAGATATATTATGTAGTTCAGATTCCACTAATGCCTCTTTATTACTGCACAATCAGTTACAGCACCTTATATGTAATTTCGTGTAATTTAAATGGCTACAGCCTGACCCAGGACACCAACAGGCAGTCTGCAAAGTTCAAAACATGAGTAATGTTAGTAGGATTTCAAACACTTTGTAGTTTAGAGGAACTGATTAAACTCATTGATATCTCAATTAGTTTATAATGCGAAATTCTGTCCAAATGAATTGTTTGTTGCTTTCAGGCAGTATGAGCCACTCAGCAGTATGAGTCAATATTGATTTATGTGAGGTGCATTGTGGCTGCAAAAATACAGTTGGATTCCAGTCACACCATTGTGAAACTTCCCCAGTGGAATTATTAATTTGCAAATACACAGTTAAGGTCAAAATATTATTTTTTGGAATATTAGCACTAAGAAAATTGGATTTAGAACACCTGCAGGTGTTAGTTTTAAATAATAAAATACAGAGCAAAGAGCACACACATATTTCTTGCAAACATCTAGATGTGATGATTGTACCATGTTATAGAGCAAAGATATTTAAAAAGATGATGTTTAGTGTACTGAAGTCAGGGTTCTCTGTGAGTGGTACCAAAAAATATGTTGTGTATATGTATGTACTGCAGCACAAGCTGCATGAATGGTGTTTTGTTTGCATTCAGAGGGTTGGTTTTGTATTGCACTTGATCTGTTTTCGAGGGAGATAAAAGCCAATGTATTGCCAGGGCTCCTTCTGCATATACCCAAGTCCTGAGGATGGCAGCTTGCTGGATGCAGGGCAGCCCCGAATCCTGCAAGGGATACCACCAAACCACTCCGTCCAAGTCCTCATCAGGGTTTATATTGTGGCAGTAAGTAGACAGATGCTCTTTTAACCTTAAAATAACTTGGGCATTTTTTTCCCAACTCAGTTTTCTTTCAGTGTCTTTGCAGTGAAGTTCCTGAAAATCCTCATCCATGTGGTATAATTGTTTTTTGGTCAGAATTCAGACAATGTTTCATACTGTAGAAATGGGTGTACAGGGTAGAAAATATTATGTATTCCTCATAATAAATTGCAGGACTGGAGAATTGCTTTATTTGTTCAAACAGAAAGGGCTGGATACACAACTAACATAGTACGGACAACCTGTTCCAGCCAAGTTATGCAAATGCAGCCAGTTTTAATCAGTAGAGTTGTTTCAAAATGACACACATTTAAACAAAACATCAGTAAGGGAGAAATGGGAGCATATTTTTGAGGGCTATGAATTGCACATTATCAAAGTGCAAAAGAAGAGGAGGCTCAGGGGAGACCTTATCACCCTTTCCAACTCCCTGACAGGAGGTTGGAGTCAGGTGGGGGTTGGTCTCTTCTCCCAGGCAACCAGCAGGAGGACAAGAGGGCACAGACTCAAGCTCTGCCAGGGGAGGTTTACGTGGGATATTAGGAAGAGATTTTTCATGGAGAGAGTGATCAGGCTTTGGAATGGGCTGCCCAGGGAGGTGGTGGATTCACCATCCCTGGAGGTTTTCAAGACGAGACTGGATGTGGCACTTGGTGCCATGGTCTAGTAACCACAGTAGAGTTGGACTCGATGATCTTTGAGGTCGCTTTCAACCTGGATAAAAAGTGCTGGATGTTAATAACTGTTGGGGTGTATAAAGGTAAAAATACACAGTACAAGATGAGGAGAGAGCACAGTGTGAGAAGTGAAAAGGGTAGAAGGCACCAGGATTTCAGAGAAACAACAGAGTTGCAGGTAATCTAAGAGGGAAAGATGGCATGGAAACAGACAGTGCCAACAAAACAGAAGAGAAGAATAGGAAGAGATTGTTTCCTGAATATAAAAACTGAAAGGTCTCTTCCAACCTTAACAATTCTGTGATTCTATAAAGAACTTTTTTGTACTGTTCAAAGACCTGGAACAATATTTTGGGGAAATGTTTCCTGAATCCTACATGCATTTGTGCAATCAGCTTCTTCCTTCATCACTGCCTCTCCCGCTCATCTTTTTTCATCTTAGTGATGGGACAGCACTTATATCTGCTTCACCTTTGCAAACTCTCTTTTTCTCCAGATCATATTTTCCCAGTAGCCTGCAAAGCTAAATGCCAAGTTTTACATTACATGAGGCAAGCAAAGCCCTTGCACTTCCAGAACACCCAAGACTGGGCAGGAAACTATAGGTCTGTGTCACAACCATGCTGTATTTAAGCAAACTTCTTGAGGACACAGTTTTTCTTCCTAACAGGCATTTAACCTCAGCCCAGCTGATCCAGATGGCAAGTCAGATCCCTACATTGTGCTGAGACTTGGCAACACAGAAATTAAAGACAGGGAGAACTATATCCCCAAGCAGCTAAACCCTGTATTTGGAAGGTCAGTGATGGCTTATTTTTTTATTCAGTGTAATTTGTGCTTTATCACTGTAGCTGTTACTATTACAAAGTGTGCTATATTTTGATTTCTGCCTGTTTGGGTGTTTTGCAATGCTGCTGGATAAAATGTTGAGAACTGCTGCCACCCTGTATGATTATAAAGTATTTCATTTTCATACCCATCAAAACACATTGAGTGATGCAATCTGTGAGAGGTTTTGCAAATAGATGCATGAGAGGAAATGAGGCAACAAATGATACTGTCTGTGCAAATTAATACAATCGTTAAGTTTAAAGTGAAATAAATATCAGAACAGTAAAGTGTGATTTCACAGTCTTTGTTCCTATTTCAGGTTGAACAGAGTGCCAAATAAATCTCATAATTTTAGGACTAGAACTAACAAAAATAGTTTTTTGAACTTGTATAGCCTTCTGAATGGGGAAGTCAGGGGCAAGCTGTCAGTAAACATCCACTTTGCATTATCAGTGCCTTATTTATATTGTTAATGCTAATAGCTGTGATTTTTTTCCAGTAAATTTCCCTGCTTTAAGAAGGTTGAAAATGTATTGAATTGGGATGGAATTATTATGCAAGAGCATCAAACCAGAGATACTATACTACTTTGCACAGAAAGCTGCTAGGATAGGGTCCTGTCTGCAAAAGCAGAGACTTAAAACTCTATGGAGAAGAGACAAGAACAGAGTGGCCCCTCCATAGCAAGCTATCTCAGTTTCTGTCATTCCTTAGCAGAAATTGCAAATGGTCCATAATTATGATAAACCACAAAGCACAGCCATTATAGACTCATTAGATGGAATGGGAAATTGCTGCTATGTTTGTTTTAGACAAGGTTAAGAATGGGCTGTTCATTTGAACAGTCCTTGCTGCTGCTGTCACAGGCAATAGTGGAGTGACTGCACAGCAACTCCTTTGCAGCAGGAGCATCAGTCATAGTAAGCACATCTTGTCACCCCAGAAATCCTGGTCAGCGGGACACCATCAGCCTCTAGCCAAACCATTACCAATGCTCTCTCCTCCAAAAACTGCTCTGCTGTTGCTACAAAATTAACTTGGGCCAGTTTGAGAAACTCATCCTTCAGGAGACAAAGCTCAGTTTTGCCTGTGCTTTGCAGAAATCTGGAGCCAGTGTTGTGCTGATCAGCATGTCCTGTCTTTCACTAATTTGTCAAATCTCTTTAACAATCACTTTTATATTTTCAACTTCCCTAAACATCTCAACAATGATGATTCCTATCCCTGAAAAATGCACCGAGTGAAAAAAGAGTTCTGATTGTTGCTTTTTTTGATATTTGTTTAGAACTTTTGCCTGATCATTTTGTTGGGTGCTCCCAAATTCCTGCATTCAATATTTAATCTGCAGCTTTTGGAAGAAAACAGAATAGATTCAGATATCCCTTTTAGGGCTTTTGTAAAGCATGTGAGGACTCTTACATACAGCTTCATTACCCTTGTAATTTCCAGAATTCCATCTCTGTTGGATTCAGGATAAGTCATTGCAGCTGACCAGCTCCATTCCATTTCTGTCTGCTGTAGGTAGAAAAAAATCTTAGAACTGTACAGGGGGTGGTAGGGAAGCAGGAGAAGGAATATACTTTTGCACTGTGTGTTTCTAGCATGTTCAAATATTTACTTGAAGCAAAAAGCACTACTAACAAAACGCCACTGCTTAATAGAAAGAACATTATTATCACATTTTTTGCACGGTATTCATTAACTTTGTCTTTTAGGCTTCAAAATTGATTTAACTGCATGTAGATCTCAATTTTTCCTGTAGATCATTTGAGATCCAAGCCACATTTCCCAAGGATTCCTTGCTCAAGGTTTTGATCTATGACCATGACTTTGTGGGGACAGATGATCTCATTGGGGAGACTAAAATTGATTTGGAAAATCGTTTCTATAGCAGACATCGAGCTACCTGTGGGTTACAGAGTCAGTATGAAATGTAAGTACTTCTTCAGACAGCAACAAAGCACACAGTGAGTGACTTGATTTGCAGAAGAAGTTCCAGATGTGGCTAAATATTATGCTTTCTTCAGCACAAAAGTGTTGCAGGAGGTATTTTAATTAAAATTCACCAAAGAGCTTAGTATTGGATTTGTGTAGCTGCCAGCCTCAGTGGGAAGTGGATATTTTAAAATTAACAGCACTGTTTGTTCAGGAAGTATTTTAGATACTAAACAGCTGATGTATTACAAACCTGCTTGATAAACTGCCTTTGGACAGGCATGAAGGGCAAATGGGGAAAAATCTGCAAAGTTTTGACAGGGCTCTGCTCTCTGTTATTCATCTGAAAGGGCAAATGGGGAAAAATCTGTAAAGTTTTGCCAGGGCTCTGCTCTCTGTTATTCATCTGCAACAGGAGTGATTGCAGCAAGGCTGATGGGACTGGCCTGGCCCTGGAGGGAGCAGGAGCAGAGCAGGGCTGGTGGCATGGCTTCTAACAGGGGTTGTGAGGCAGTGATGCTGAGCTCCTGGCCCCTGCCACACAGCTGCACTCTCAGGGTTGTTAATAATTACCTAACATGGAGAAAATTAGCCTAAAATAACTCCACTACTCTGGTGTGGGGCACTAAACTAGGAGATGTGGGTTTGTGGTTATCCATTGATTGCTTCTCATTTTATCTATAAAGTGTGGACAATGTAAAAAAGCAATGCAGGAACACAGACCAAACCTCAAAGCTTCCCTTGCCAGCTCAGTCTCCAGTGTGAGATATTTCTTCATGTGCTTGTTCCAGGTCCCAGATAACCTCAGCTTCTCCTCTCCATTTGGAAGCCACAGAACACTTCTCCTTGAATGGAGGTAGAACATGTAGGCTTGAATCCTTTAGGTAGAACATGGAATGTGCTCTGGTCCTTTTCCTCTTGGGAAGCATGCCAATGCTTGGATTACTTTATCTAAGCTGGGGTAAGGCTGCCTCAGATTTGCATGTGTTTTAGAAGAAAGGAGTGGTTAGTCCCCAGGACCTGAACAGAGAGGGTGTCTCAAGTAAGCAGTAGTGCTGGAAATTCAAAGTAGAAGTTTGACTGAGCGGATGTCAGGGCCACTGACCACAAAATGAATCTCTGCGTGGAAAATGCTGATTTGTCAGTGCACTTTGCTGAAGGAAAAACTAATCCATTTCTCTTCACTCTCTGTTCCCCCCTTGCAGAGAAGGGTACAATGCATGGCGAGATGCAACCAAGCCAAGCGAGATCCTCACTAAGCTGTGTAAGGACTACAGAATAAGTGGACCCTTCATGCGACCAGGGGAGATACAAGTAGGAACAAAAGTCTTTAAGGGACAGACAATCTTCACAGAAGATGAGAATGGTAATGAAGTAGTTTGACATTCTTCAGTTGCATTGTAGCAGTACCAAGAGGCTGCCCAAGCTGTAGCTGGGCCCTGTTGTGCTATGTACTCTAAAGTCAAATTGCTGGAGCCTATGTCTGCTTTGAAACACTCATATAACTCTGGCAATGAAGGTTGTGTCTCTATTAGTTGTTGCAGTAGCACAGTTGCAGAGAATCTGTATGGTGAAACAGTTGCTGATGACCTGTCAAATCCATGATGGCTGTTGGGGGATGCTTTGGACTAGCTCTTACCTGATCCCAAGGATGGGAATCCTAGGATTGGTTGAGGACCCTCTTGGAACACGTCTTCTGGCTTAGTTCTGATCTGAAAGGAATCCAGGTTGCATGTTCTGAGATCCTTCCACACAGCATATCAAAGCATGGGAAGTCAGGGAGAGTCTTTCAAAAAATGCGTTCCCTATCTAAATTGAAACATTAAAGTAGAGAGATGCAAGAAGTGAGTAGAGGGCAAAGGGAAATACAGATGTGAAGGAGTTACTCGAGATCAAGTAAGTCTCTGACCACAGTTAGACTCCAGGCCCCTTACCTGCCATTCCTACCTTACCTACTTGCCTTTCCTTTCTGTTGTTTTTTTGACTCCTCTTGGTTATTACCACTCTGACTGCTCTCCTGAACACTAACACAGCACTGTGTTAATCCAGGTATCTGTAGGGTCCATGAATTCAAATGACAGGACATAATTTACTTTCAGAGCTCCCAGGTTAAAAAGAGCTACCATGACCTTGAGTGTCCATATCACATTGGAGTAGAGTGGGACAGAGCCATCAGTGAAAGGTGTCCTTGCCCATGGCAGGAGAGGTGGACAAGATGATCTTTCAATGTTTCTTCCAATCCAAACTGTTCTATGATTCAATTTTATACTTGAGATAAGTATAAGAGGTGTGAGGATGGAGTCTTTCAAGGAGAACAAAAGGTGTCAGTCTTGGAGACAGTAGTGGACACTGTAGCAATGTAGGAAAACCTTCACTCTCTTATCTGTGTTTATTTGTTTTTGACCACATTCTTCTTGGCAACTACAAAATACAGCTCATATCTGGAGTGGAAGGCTGTTAAGGTAGCACTGTTGAAGGGAGAAGTGTTGATCTATTTTTGGTTTCTTGGCCTGAAATAGATTTTTTTACTCCAGTGTTGCTGCTTGTTTTCCTCACTAGCAAATGACTGAGTGTGACTACCAGCAACAGGATCCCTCAATCAAAATTCTGGTCCACTAAAATGAGCTTCAGACAAACCAATATCAGACAAGATAATGGAAATCAGATGCAAGGAAATAGCCAGATGGCAAAGACCAAAGTACTTATGTACAAGTTTTTCAACATGTTATACAGAAATAGTTTATAGCATACAGTCTTCTACATAATTTCTATCCAGATTGCCATTCTGACAAGTACATCTGGGTCCTTATTTCCTGATGGGTTTCTGTGAAGGTCATAATTTGGATCTGTAAATCTAACTGAAAACCCAGATATGACTCTTGAGAAGGGGAAGTGTTGCAGACGTTGCTGTGTGTGTAGAGATGGTCAAGACAGGTTCTATGATGATAGCCAAATTTTATTTCTACACTGCTGCTTTTTATTGTTTTGCACACACTGTGCACACACCATGTTAATTACCTATTGGTCAGTGATGTGGAAATGCTTAATTTATTGGTTAACAGCTGCTTACGCATACCCTTACAAATTATCCCAAAACATCCTCCTTTTATGGTCATCTTCTTCCTTTCTCACAAGGTGTTTACCTCGTTAGTCTCAGGGATACAGGCTTATCTTGTCAAGGACAATGCTGTTCTCATTAGTGAGGCCTTCAGTCCAGCTGTCAGCCTTCACAGGGAAGCAGTACCATTTCCACTGTACAGGTGGAGAAAATTATATTTATTTATCCAGTGTTAAATTGCAAGGGAAAGAATAATTTAACTTTGCTCTAGAATAGAATAGTTCAGTTGAAAGAGACCTACAACAATCATCTAGTCCAATTGCCTATCTACTACTCTCCAGTAGTCTATGACTACCTGTAGCCAATGGGAAGAAATAGGCACCCTCAGAGGTAAAAACAATCTTTATAAAGGTGTCTTTGAGAGGATATGGGATATCTCAGGACTATCTGTGTCATTGCTGCTGAGGCTGCCTGACTGTTTAGGTCAGGCTAGAGACCTTTTTTTTAGATGGCTAAAATTAGATGAAATACATCACATCTCAAACATGAATTAGTGCATGAGAGGCAACCAAGACTCACAGCCACAGGGTCATCCTTCCTCACTCTCTGAGCCATTACAAGAGTTTAATACCTACTGTTTAAATTCCAAATGAATCTTTGTCAGCTACCAGCAACTCGGAGATAGCAACAACGATAAGAAAAGTGGTAACAGTTTGCTGACACAAATAAATCTGAACCTTGTTCTCACTTGGGTACTTCTAATCTAGGAGATAATCATTCTTCAAAAGTCTGGGCTCTTTTTGTGGGGAGCAGACACAGAAAAGGGAGGAAAGAGAAGCTCAAGAACTCAAAAGGGTTTCTCTGCTTTCCAAAATCCACCTAGTTTCAATATTAACACTGGTCCTTCCTTGAGATGCCATTCTCTGGGGTCTCCCTTCCAGTGGCCAAGCTGAGTCAGTCAGGAGGTGTCATGCTCTTGCCCATGGACTCTCTTCCCTTGAAGTGTGATTCGGTTCTCTAGAGGGTCTTTGTTGTTGCACACAAACCAAAATGAGGTGTAGATAACTGCAAGTGCCCATTTCCTGTCAGCTTTCTCAAAATTCAAGTCTCCTTGTCTTTCATGAGTTGTAAAAATTTGCAGTTTTCTGTAAAAAGAGTAGTTTACAGGTTTCTTCCATCTTTCTGTTAAAAACTGCTACTGTAATAGTGAAATGATTTGCTGTGCTTTACAGGTAAACTGCTGCCTTCTAGTTACCCCTGTCGATTTGCCGTGCTTTACAGATAAACTGCTGCCTTCTAGTTACCCCTGTGGGTACCCTTATTTATGAAAATTAAATGCATTTCAAGGCCCTTCTTTATTCAGCTGGAATACATAAAATCTTCCTCTTCACTCATGCAAAATTTTAATGACTACCTTTAATAATTAATGGAACGTATTACCAAGGGGGTCAATATTATAATTCAGCTCTCTTTGTTCTTTTTGTTTTATTCTTTCCTATAGAGGAGCCAGTTGAATCGTATGAACATCTCTCCTTAAAGGTTTTACGTGCTTGGGAAGAGATCCCTGGAGCCGGATACAAACTGGTCCCAGAGCACATTGAGACTCGACCTCTCTACCATAAGGATAAGCCAGGCATGGAACAGGTACAGCAGATCAGGGCTGGTGGTGATGGTAGACCCAGGAGCAGTTTTAATTTCCTCCAGTTATTGTGGTTTCTATTTGTATCTGCAAACTTACAGATACTGCATCCAAGTGTGGCACCGTACATGAGACTTTGTACAGTATCAGCCTAAATTGCCACCTTATATGTATACAGCCAATTACCCAAATACACAGTAATTGCACAAGGTGTAACTGCATATTTTCATTCTTTTAAATGCTTTAGTTTTATAAGTTAACAAAACATCTGCTTATATCTAAACTTTGGTTATTTTTTCTATTCATCACATACTATTTTTACATGGATTTTCACCTTGAAGCTGACAATGGTTGAGTTCTATTCCAATTTCACCAATTTCACAGAATCACAGAATATTCAGAATTCAAAGGGACTTGCAAGGATCATTGAGTCCAATTCTGCCCTGCACAGGACATCCCCAAGAGTCACACCATGTGCCTGAGAGCATTGTCCAAGCATTTCTTGAATTCTATCAAGCTTGGGGCTGTGACCATTGCCCTGAGGAGCTCTTCTAGTGCCCAACCACCCTCTGGGTGAATAACTTTTCCTAATATCCAAACTAAGCTTTTTTGACACAACTTCAGATCATTCCCTTGGTTGTCAGAAAGTTCAGTACCTCCCCCTCCATTTCCCCTCATGAGGAAGTTGCATACAGTGATGAGGTCTCTCCTCAGTGTCCTCTTCTCCAGGCTGAACAGACCAAGTAACCTCAGCTGCTTCTCATATGGCTTCCCCTCAAGGCCCTTCACCATGTTTCTTGCCCTTCTTTGGACTGTTGAGATAACTTCAAACCAGATGACTGAGATAACCTCAGTTATCTCAACAGTCTCACTGAAAAACCTGCCTTGATGCAATAATGTTTTTAAAAGCTGTTGATCACTGCAATGTCTATTAAACACATAATTATTGCCCACAGTCCTAATGCCCTTTAGGTGTCTAAGCTTCTGTTGCCAAGTGAAAGAATATGTGCATGAAAAAGTTGTATGGAAAGCTTATAGATGAAATCAGAGTTACAGGACAATGAGCTGGTTGGTGCTTACAGAGGAAGTGGTGGTTTTGAATATCAGAACAACACTTAAAGTGTCTGTGAAATATGGTTAGAGAGATGTTTATCTCTTTGTTTTCAAGGGTCGTGTACAGATGTGGATTGACATGTTTCCTAGAGATATGCCTCTGCCAGGACCCCCAGTGGACATTTCACCAAGAAAACCCAAAGGGTAATACTCTATGCTTTCCTCCCACCACTGTGCATGACTCTTCAAAGACCTAGTCTTTCTTAAGTGTCTGGAAAGAAATAGGAGAAAAAAACCATTAAAACAAACATCTCTGGTCCCAAGAAACGTTTCCTTAGGGTCACATGACTTCAAGTGAAACAAGAGCATCTAGTTTGGTATCCTCCATTAAACAACTCAACTGTTGGTGATTTTTTCAACAAGGTCTATCCCCTCTTTTGCAAAAATATCGCTTTCCCTTTTTCATATAGAGATTGCAGGTGGCTAGACACAAGAGTTAATGTTATCATACACCTGTTGAGCTGAAAGAAGTAGTTCTGCTTTCACTACCACTTTCAGTGAGATAACTTACTCGACCTTGTTGAGCTCTTTAATCTGATGCAGTAGTATTACACCTATTGGAATTCCAGCACTTCATTAAAAGATAAGATCAAGAAACACATAAAGCAGCAACAGATAGAAGAAGAAATTTCACATTTACTTATGCTAATTTACAAGCAATACTGCACATTTGCTATAATTTAGCAAGGTCTTTCCTGAGAATTTTATGTCTGAAACAGGATCAGGTACTATTCCTATATTATTTATGTTTGAACAAGATATAGTCTGATAAAAACTTGTTTATTTTCCTTTCCTTCTACAAAAGCCAAGACTTGACAAACAAACAAGTCTGTGTAAAAATTACCTCCTTCAGAACAGAACTTTCTATAAAAGTCCTTAACAACAAGCTTTGTACAAACAAACAAACAAACCAAGGATTTAAAACTAATCAGGCCCACAAAACCAAATTTTTGCTGCTGCTTTTGTAGTCTACTACAACAGGAGAAATTACCATCAAGCCATTTATGAAAACAAAAGCAAACACACCAACAGAAGCTGCATATCTTGCTGAGAAATGTGCATTTGCTGCACCAAAAGAGGTTCCAGGCTCTGTATAACTTCAAATACTTTGTGAACACGTTTCTTATTGACAATCTTTGACTGAACAAGGCTCTGATGGAGCATTGCAAATTATTTCTTTGGCTTGCATGGAGGCTTGATTTTCATGGACATTGCAAATGATTTCTTCGGCTTGCATGGAGGCTTGATTTTCATGGTCAACACTCCTTAAGAGCTCCATGGTCTAGGATATCTGGTAACTTCTGGGGCAAATTGTTTCACACCTTATATTGAGGCTATTTCCAAGACAAGACATATCATACCATAAAAATCATATTTTGGTGTTCTCAGACATAGTTTGTTTGCCTTTCTTAAAGAAAAACTATTATTTTGCAGTTCATACAATGACTCAAGAAATATCTACAGTTTTGAGTATCAATTTTTTATGTCACCTGCAACATCTGTATTTCGAGTCAATCTAGATCTTTGGCTGGCCACCACAAATGGCTGCATATAGAGAGTGGAAAGAATGGGAAAAGTTAAATTTCTTTTACTATTGCTTCTAAAGATGATTGCACTTGCTTAAATGAAAATATCTCTAAGAAGTCCTTTTCTTCCCTTTTAATGCATGAGATTGCACCAAACACAAATGTTTTTAGGCATTTCTTCTTAAAAGCACCTCGCAAGGAGATCTGTTTTCTATTAGCAAGCTTGTTTCACTGCAGCATTTTTGTGAAAAGAAACAGATAAATAAAAAACAAGGAATTTTTCATCCCTTCAAAGCTGGCAGTGACCCTGATGTTGTCCATCATACTCCAAGAGCTGAGAGGAGCCCACTCCATCACTAGACTCTTGTAAACAGAAGAGACCTGAGGCTGACACACAAATACAACATTTCTCACTTTATAAAGGAATTATTTGATAGAGATTTGCATTAGTGTCTGAACAGAGCTTGAGTATACACAGGCCCACTTTCTTTTCTGTTTCAGCTATGAACTGAGGGTAATAATCTGGAATACAGAGGATGTAATTCTAGAAGATGAAAATATCTTTATGGGGCAAAAATCAAGTGATATCTATGTAAAAGGGTAAGTTCTTCAGCACTTGTCTTCAACAAAACGTGTAATATTTCATTCAAAAATCAGATTAAAAATTGTGTTGTGAGAGTATTTGATAAGCTATTTCTGTGACATTGGCACTGTTCTCTACATCCCTAAATTACTCATCTATATTGGATACTGCTTCCTTTTTCTTTTATTCCCCTCTTAAAATTGGGTAACTATAAAATTACATTAGTCATTAATTCCTGCTCAGGCAGAGATGGCACAAGAAAAGAACCAAGCTCACAGTTTAGCAAGAGATCAAACACAGAATTTGAACTATAAGAGCTTACACAGCTGCAGAGAGGTTTGATATAATCAGAGAAAAGGGAATTGTGACTGCATTAGGAACAAGAAAGCAGGTGTTTTCCAGGTTATTTGTATTGGAAATATTTTCCAACCTCATGTGGGGAGTGTGTGTGGACTGTGGCTGTGCTGAGGGAAGCATCACTTGGGCACTTTCTGCTCTCCAACTCCTTCCTGCTGCAGACAAAACATCTGTCACAGCTTCACAGACGTTACTAGGCTAACCAGTAAACTATGTCACATAAAATGAAAAGAGTGAGACGAAAAGGGATCTTGACACTCAAATAAGCTCTTTCCTGAAAGGGTACCAGGTTACTTCTTAATTACTTGCCTGTTTTGAAGTACTGCTTTAAAATTTCTGTTTCTGAATGCAGTACCAGAGAGAGGTGGGGAGAAATGATGGCATAGGTGGCAGTACAAAATGTTGGGAACTTCAGGTGCCAGACTGGTCTTAGATTTCTTGCTGGTTTTCCACTACTGGAGAATGAGACTAATAAGGCAATATGAGTGTGTGGAGCACCAGGCATATGGAAAAATGAATTTCCCTTGAAAATCTGATCTAGTGTTGCCAAAGACCAAATGCAAAAAGCTGAAGGAGGGAGCACTGGGATCAAAGTAAGCATAAGGATGGAGCAATCTGGTAGCAGCTTTTACCCTGTGTAGGATGTATCTACATCATTTTACCAGGGAAACTTGCATTACCTCTGACCAAACTGTGTGGGGCACTGGGAGTGGCACCACTTCTTTGGAGCAGGTGATACTAGCCCAGGTGGAGCACACACCACTACAGCCATATGGCCCCCAGTGTGCTGCAAGTGTGGGTATTGCACACACAGGCTGAGCAAACCTCCCTTTGCAGTACCCTGAGAGGACCTGAAATCACTGGTGTTCACACACATATATCCAACTTAGCAATAAACAAACATCTTCAGAGCAGTGGCAGAGTAGCTCTGAGAGCATGAAATTGAGGAATAGGAAACCAGACTTTGTGCTGAGCTGTGTGATAACATGAGGACAACTCTATCAATGTCAGAATGGTCTGACAGGGAAACCAGGAGTGGAAAACTTTTTGGTTCTGTGCATTAATGATGAAGACAGAAATCTCATTATGTTCAGACAGGGTATGTGACACTGTGGCTGTCACCAGGCATTGATTTGCACTGGGGGCAGTGCCATGCTTCAGATTGTTGCCATTTTTCACAATTCCTTTTTGAAACATTGGAGCTTGCAGCCACTCTTTGGATGCAGCACAAAAATTCTAATCTTTACTCTAGCTGTGATAAATCATCTTTGGAACTGAAACATACCTAGCTGGATCATTACCTTAGCAGAACTCTTCAGAAGAGAAAATTATGTTTAGGAAAGCATTGTCCTTTTGTACCATAGCACACCTGATGTTGTGCACACTGTAGCAGAAACCAAGAGGAAGTCACAAAAAAAACCACCAGAGAGACTTCTCCAGCCATACTTATGCCATGTTTATACCTGCAAACAGCAACTACAAACAATTTAGGCTCTAATATTGAGCACTGAAATTTGTCTTGGGACATTGACAAGGGATTAGTGTGGAACAATGTGAATATAGGGTGATTAGTACTGGATAAATGACCTATGCTGTCATTGCCTGTCCCAAAGAAGAGAGATGTCTTGGCCAGTAGCAAATGACCAACTGGTAATTTGGGGTTTTATTAAAACAAAAAACCATGTCCTTACTCTCAGCTTTTGATCACCACTGGCCATTATTGCAGCCTGTGCCACAGCTGGAAGGTGGCTGAGATAGCCTGTTGCTGCATATCACAGTCCTGAATGGTGTGTTGCCTCATACTGATTGGGAAGGAATTACTAAGTGGTCATGCTTGTAACCAAATAATGACAATTACAATTCAAGCTCCCCTGGTGACAGCAGTGCTTTCCACTGTGTGTGTGCTGTAGGTGGATAAAGGGCCTGGAAGAGGACAAACAGGAGACAGACGTACATTACAATTCCTTGACAGGAGAGGGCAACTTCAACTGGCGCTTTGTGTTCCCATTCCACTATCTCCCAGCAGAGAAACGGATGGTGGTTAGTAAAAGAGAAAACATATTTTCCTTGGAAAAGGCAGAACGCAAAATACCTGCAGAGCTGGTCCTTCAGGTGTGGGATTTTGAAAGACTTTCTTCAGATGATTTCTTGGGTAAGTATGCAATGGATCTGCCTGAGCTTCACCTGAGGTCTCTCCAGACCTCTGTTTTGTAGAGGTGTGTACAAAATAGTGTCTGAGTCCCAACTTTTGCTTGTCTTTTACTGAAGCATCACATTGCAAACTTACCCATTTCTTGGAGAGGCAATAATTAGGAATCAGTTGAAAGGATGCCAGGGCAATACAAATTGATCTGTAATAATTAGGAATCAGTTGAAATGATGCCAGGGCAATACAAATTGATCTGTATTGTGCTTACAGTATGGAGAGATTCCCCAGCTCTGACACTTGGGCCCAAGCTGCTGCATTGCTCCATGTATCTCATCTGAAAGCTGCAGTTTGAATGCCTTTGTGTCTGTCTGTTCTCTGAGTGTTGTCATCCTACTTCTCCCTCCAGGCACTCTTGGAATCAGTTGAAATGATGCCAGGGCAATACAAATTGATCTGTATTGTGCTTACAGTATGGAGAGATTCCCCAGCTCTGACACTTGGGCCCAAGCTGCTGCATTGCTCCATGTATCTCATCTGAAAGCTGCAGTTTGAATGCCTTTGTGTCTGTCTGTTCTCTGAGTGTTGTCATCCTACTTCTCCCTCCAGGCACTCTTGAATTGAACCTGAATGGGTTCCCTCGAGCAGCAAAGACAGCCAAGAGCTGTGAAGTAGACATGGTTGTGGCAGCAAGTGAAGAAAACAAGATCTCCATATTTCAGCAGAAGCGTGTCAGAGGCTGGTGGCCTTTCATCAAGGCTGGGGAGCTCACGGTAGGCAGCCCACTACAGATGAACAGCTTTTCTCTGTGCCTGATATGCTCTGCTGAGACCCTGAGACAGACAGAGCAACCACTACTGGCAAGCCACAGGATTCCTCCAAATGCTTTAATGGTTCCCCATAGATTTGGTTCAGATAAGCCCAGGCAATCAGAGCACTTTGTACTTTCACTTTGCTTTCTCACATTGTTTGTCTCTCAGCACATTGAATAGGCAAAGTGGAAAATCAGGTGTTTCCAGTCAACTTTATGTCAGCTGAGGAAATCCAGGAAAGAAGCTCATCTGATTATTTATTTCTTTACTGTTTATGTCTGACTTCAACCTGGGCAAAGGAAGTGGTTTTGAAGTCTACAATGACTCTCCTTCTAGTGGCATGTATCAAGTAGAAAGAGCAAAATCCCCTCTTCTTGCTGAACTGTGCTCAATATTTTTGGTTTAGTGGCAGAATACAACCAGTATAGAGGAATGCAAAGGACAATGACAGCTTCCTCCGAACTGCAAGACTTGTTGTGTTAGAATTACCCTTCTAGGAAGACTATAAATGTTGCCACACAAATTTTCATTTACCTGAAGCCTCTAGCATAACAAGGCTTGCAGCAGCGTGTACCTAACCATTTATTTCAGGGTTTTCTGCTGCAGCTTCTCTTCATAATGTTGAAGGGCTTTCTGTGTTTAATCTGGGTTCTCATTGTTTAACACAGCTTCTCCATTTTTCCTGTCTTTAAGGCTCCTTGTACTGTTAGAGCAGTACAGGGATCCACAGTGTAAATGAAAGACAGCTCTGATCCCCTGTTTCCTAGCTGGAGTGCATGTGTTTAGGCATGAAGTACATCCCAGTAGTTAATTTTTCACATGGTCATTAGGGTATGTCTACATGAAACTGAGCATGACGCAGAGCTGTATGAGCTAGTGAAGGAAAACCCAAGCTGATGTGCTTACATGGCCACAGACCATTTTGGGAGCTTGGACCCAAATCCCAAATCTCAGTCATTTGGCTCTGCCAGGATGTGTGACCAATAGAAGACACAACTTCTCAGATAAATTACGCTATAATTTAGGAAGCAGAAAATATATTTATAGGTCTGGAAGAAAATATCCTACCTCTCTTTCCTAGACGATTGTACCTCTCTAGTCGTTGTGCTAAGTCAGGAATTTGTGCCTGGATTTTCCTTTGTGCTTCCTCTTCAACTGCAAAGATTATCTTATTTTCTTTAATTGATTTCCTTTGCCCTCGATCGGTTCCATAATTTCTCCACAATCTCCTGCTGTGATTTAGTGATAATAACACAGGATTGGATGCTAGTTCCATCATTTCTCCACAATCTCCTGCTGTGATCTAGTGATAATAACACAGGATTGGATGCTCACATATCATCTCTCTGATCCAGGGCAAGGTGGAAGCTGAGTTTCACTTAGTCACAGCAGAAGAAGCTGAGAAGAATCCAGTAGGCAAAGCTCGAAAAGAGCCTGAACCCTTGGAAAAACCCAAGTGAGTAGGAGCATACTCATTAAACAAGCTGGGAAAGGGGCATTCAGCGGGAGATGGGAAAGGGAAGGTTTCCTTGCTTCTCTCCTGGCTTTTCTCCTCTTCCCTGCTGTAAACTTGAGCAAGCTATTTGTCCAGCTTGTGCATTACCTGACTGCTGGCACTCATAGCTGGCAGCAACTTCCAGGTTAGCTAAAATGCCTTCCTCTGGAAACCCAAATAAGTTGCATTGCCGTACATTTGTCCTTAGCTAGAGTTCACACATGGGCTCATTCCATAGCTGACCTGGCATGTTATAACATCTTAAATCATCATAACTTACACATACACCCAATACCTCAGTTTGGTCACGTATAAAGATCAGATGGATTATATTTATTATGTTAATAATAGAATAATTTAGATTGGAAAAGAACTTTAAGATCATTGGGTCCAACCATTAACCCAACACTGCCAAGTTCACCACTAAACCATGTCCAGAAGCACCACATCTACAGGTCTTTTAAATACCTTCAGGGCTGGTGACTATACCACTTCCCTGGGAAGCCTTTTCCAATACTTGACAACCCTTTAGGTTTATAAATTATCTAATCTAAACCTTCCTTGGAGCAACTCGAAGCCATTTTCTCTCAGCCTGTCACTTGTTACCTGGGAGAAGAGACCAGATCTCACCTTGTTATAGCCTCCTTTCACACAGTTGTAGAGAGCAATAAGGTCTCTGAGCCTCGTTTTCTCCAGGCTAAACACCTCCAGCTCCCTCAGCTGGTCCTCACAGGACTTGTGCTCCAGATCCTTCCCCAGTGTCATTGCCCTTCTTTAGACATGTGAATTATATGACTTTGAAATTCTATCTCTAGTTTTATTGTACATCATGCTCAAAAAATGAAGATGCTTACTCTTCATCATAAGACTTTTTAATGAGGACATTTTAAGTGGTTCAACAAAGGCAAATTATCTAGAAGGAGCATTTTATCTTTCAGTATTTGTCACATTAAAAGACATTAACAGCTGTAACTTTTTGTGTTCTGAAAAATGTACATGTAGTCTATTTTGGCTGAAGTGCTTTGTTCTACTAAAGTTATAAGGTAGATCAAAGGAAGAAAGAGGAAGAGGAGAAAAAAACAGAGAGAATTCAATGTTACATTTCCTGCTACCAAAGCTTCTAAAAATCAATTGCTAATCATAATGGCAATCATTACACTTTCTGTTTAATTTTGTTTGTTTGATATATATCTCAGGATAAACAAGAAAAAAAGAGAAAACAGCATAAAGGAATTGCCAATACCCCTACAAAAGGTATAAATTTAGCCTGAAAATTGGAGGTATCAGAGACATGTTGAAAACGAGCCTTGGAAATAATTTAAAGAAATATTTCACCCAACATCATAACCCAAAGTCAGGATGAGCTATGCCTGATGGAAGTCTGCCTAAAAGATTGTCAGTAACAGAAACTAAAGCACTGTCTTACAGAGGAGAGAGGACTAGGAAGTTTGTCAACAGGATGCACAAGGCACTGTCACATTTTTCTCTCATCTTTTTCAGTACCAGCCTGTGCACCTCAGGCAGGCTGGGGCTCCAGGGCTCCATGCGTTTTCACCTCAAGGGCATTTTATTTTCAAATGTGCTCTAGTCACCAGCCTGGTGGCCCTTTCTCTGCTGCACCGACAGCCTGGAGGTGTTTTAACCCAGAAGCCACAAAACCAGACTCTTCCTCCAGATCTTGCACTAAGTAATGGGAGGCTCCACTCAGTGCCCCTGAGAGATGGAATATGTGGTTCATACATGCAGAGTAGTCAAAATCAGCTGAGAGATAACAGAGAACTTTCTGCACTTCAATTGAGTTCTCTTCAGGAAGAAGTGGATCTCAAGGAGCTTTGTGTCAGGACCTCCCAGATCTCTATGCCAGTGCTGTAGGTTCACTTTTTGTTTTGTTCTTCATGTAGGATCACCCTGGCAAGTACACAAATTTTCAGATAATTTGTATAATTGAGTTTTTTTAAATTTAAGAAACAAAATAGCTTCAAAAACAAAATTATCTTCTAGAAGCTATAGAGAGTAGCAGACTCTTTAATGTACCAAAGATGTACTAGAGAGAGAAGCATGCAAATGAAGAATGAGGTGCAATGAGTGTAATTTCCTGCTGGCCAAAGCACCCTGAGGTTATCCATCTCTTCAGCTCTGCTGATCAAGACAGGATGTTTTTCCAGATGCACTCTATCATAATAAATGCACTCCTATAACTGGTACTGCATTCTATTGCCTATGTTGCAAGGAAAACCAATTAAATGAGCAACAGTCTGGCTTCTTCCCCCTCTGTGTTTAGAGGTTATGAAAAGCCTTTAAGCAGTTGGAACATGCAGGCTAAGGGTCTTGTTACTCAAGTAGTTTTTTTCTTCAGAGTATTCAGTTTTTAAATAATTCCTTTTAAACTGAAGGGCTTACTTGTAGATTTATTTCTGAGTCATTTCCACCTCAGTATAAAACAGTCTTTAATTAAAAGATACTCACTTGGCCTTTTAGATTTACAGTTTCTGAACATTGGCATCACTTCCACATGCTGAATGTGAGTTCACCAGATAACTGAGGCATTGCTTAAATTCTTTAAACAGCTTTCTGGAGTGACCCATAGCTTTTTGTGACCCTCAGTTAATGTCATTCTCCTTACTGCTGCACCATCTGCACAATGACAGTGACATTGGATAAGACAATACCCAGTTTTGCAAGTGTTAATGTTGCTCTGCACCACTGTACTTGTCAGATCATCCTACCATACAAAGCTGACAGATGTTGCCTTGGGTAGGGCTGTTGGAGTCAGAGGCATAGTGACTCCCAAGCTGGGTGGCATGCCAGAGGACAGACTACATCAACATTTTTTCTAAGCAGAACATTGTTTTCCTCTCTGCATGCACCCAACTTTACTGTGCAGTGTGATGAAGCTTCTGGTTATGGAGGAGAACACAACATGGGGCAACACTTGGAAAAAACTTAGGATTGTGGGATGCAGATATACTCCACCAGAAGAAGGTGGCTCTTTACGTATACAGGAAAACTACCTGGGTTTCAGCTAATTTCCTGTTTTCAGGAGGCCTATTTCAAATTTCCTTCTGAAAATCCATCATTTTGAGCCATATGCCAGGTCTGATCCAGCTCTGACTATTATGGCAATATGACTATTGCAGTGCAATCAGGTTTTTGCAATGGCTCATTACCACTTTTGTGAAGCTAGATGCCTTGAAATGATTAGAAAGCTTTTGTACTTAAATTCAAGATGCCTGCATTTCTTCTTTAGGATTTATCATGATCTTGTTTGCAGTTTTGAACCCCGTATTGTGACATAAATTGGAGTATTTATGAAGTGTGAAATGGAACTTCATTCCAAGTGGTGTGTGGAGCTTGCACTCAGGGGTGTGTGGAAGAAAAGTGACCCAATAGTTTGTGAAAATTGTGGACATTCCCTCTAAACTCTGTAGTGCATTCCCAGAAGTTAAAGGTCCCTTTAAACTCATATATTTTGCAGTAGCATAACTTTGGAAAGAGATGAATCTGCCTTTACAGAAGTTTTTGTTTTTCTTTCTCCCCCTTTAGCCGACCAGGCACATCCTTCTCTTGGTTTGTAAATCCTTTCAAGTGTTTGTATCACCTGATCTGGAGAAATTACAAGAAGTACATCATCATTGGCATAATTCTGCTTGTTCTCATTGTCTTCCTGGTGCTCTTCATCTACACAATGCCCGGTGCAATCAGTGAAAAGTTAATTATAGGAAGTGGATAGGTTATGGCTCTCATTGTAATCAATCATATACAAAAACTTCAGCTAAAAATAAAAGTCAGGCAAAAAAAATTAATCAACTTGAAACATATCTCATGCCTTGTAAAAAGAAAAAAACCTATGTGCATCAGAAACTGGAGCTCTCTTAGCATATTTTAACATCTTCGAATTCGCACATTCACACCAGCCTTAATGTATATCGTCACTAATATCCTGCTGCAGCTTCACTAACATTATTACTGAAAGTGTCATTATGCACCTAAAACTGAGTTTGAAAGTAAATTCCTCAATGCTATGCAGAAACTGATTTGTCAGTCAAGTATTTATTATTACAGAGAAATGATTAAATACTAAGAGCAAAATCTGTACAGTACAGTCTTTGCATATTTTTGTAATTAATTATTTTAACTGTTTTTCAATGACCTTATAATGGCATGACTCTTTATAGATAAAAGGTGTTATTAAAGAAATCTAAGGTTAAATTGTCTCATTTTGGTGTCATATACAGAATTCATCCTGCATTTCTCAGTAGGAACACTGTGCTCTATAAAAACATCTCACACACTCATAAATGAGGAAAGTGCCAGTGACAAGGGAAGGTAGAAGCAGAGATTGAAACAAATTTTTCAGCTGCAGTTTGAAAGTGATGGAGGTCATTGGAGGAGAGGGATCAGGAAGATGAAGACTCAGCTATGGGCACTGCAGTAATAAATGGTCCTTGTAAAGAGTGGAACAGGGAGAATCCTGCTGCTTGACAAGTAGAGGTAAGGAGCAATGGAAAAGAGAAAGACTGCAGAGAGCAAATCATGGAGGACTAAAGAAAACAATGACTAAAACCCTACACAGTTATCAGTTGGGAAAATCCTCATCCTACTCAGGAATACAGAAAATGATGTTGCCTGTGTCATGCATGAGGCAAGGCTCAATAGCTTAATGACCCAGCTTGGCCTTAAAATGAGTGGTTATGAATTTGAAGGAGCTATAGAAATCTCCTCCAGTCTCACCCATGGATAGACATGTTGTAAAGGTGACCTTTGAGAAAATGCTCCACTCATACAAAGTGTGAGGACTCTTTGCATATTTCAAAGTATCAAAAGACAAGACAAAGATATCCTGTAAATGCTGTTATTTCTGCCAAGCTCAGGGTGCAGGAAAAGAAAAGTAGGCACCTTGATCATTCTCAGAGGGCACTTCTCAGGGAAGCTTGTCTGGTACTGCTTGCAATGCAATGAGCCTCCATGCTCCCCTCTGGCCTACAACACAGGTAATTGTATTATTCTGGAAAATGGATTTCAGTGAAGTTTCCACAGAGAAAATACATTTGAAAAGCATTTTAGAGGCTTATTTTGGATGAGATAAATTGCTTTAAAAGCGCCTCTTCCTCATTCCACTGATGATAGAGGCAGATGGCTAAAGGCAGGCTGAAAGCATCCCATCCTCACCTCATCCAGCAGATCATGACTCAGTATTTCTTCCAAATTTCATGTTCTAAGTATACAAGAAATATACCTAAATTACTCAGATATGTCAGTAAATAAATTACAACTAGATATGTGGCAAAGGACCACAGTAGATGGGTTTTTCTGTTGGGCTATTTTACTTTAGAAGTATCTTTAATATGACCAAGAAATTAGAACACAATTGCATGGTTTAATCTGCACTGGTTAAACATAGCAGTGCAAGACAGTGACGTGGAAAGGTGCTGATCACCCTTGAGTGTCTCTTCGTCTCATGTCCCTCAGCACTGGGCCCTTGTCTGGTGCAGTCTCTGCTTACACAGCATGTGTGACACATTCCTCTGAAGACACTTGTTTTTTAGTTTTATGCTATTTTGTCATTGAGCATGTATGAAACAGAAAAGAAAATGTTGTTTCTCCTAATATGTCTCACCATCCCATGAATTTTGGAAATGCAATTTAAAAGCTCCAATAACAGCAAATAAAATTGCTTCGATGCAAAAGGTGAGAGATGAATGCTGACAATCAGAGCATGTTGTGACAGCCATAAAGGCAATGGATCTGACTTTTTTTCCAGTGTGTCAGGTCAGTGGTCCTGATCCTGTATGGCAGCTGCTGTGTACGTCTGTCCTTACTCTGCTTGCTTGCCCATGCTGCCTTGGACTGTGAAGCACTGGACAGTGGCTTGAGCCCCCTGCCCTTGCCAGAGGGTCCTCCTGCATGACTTCAGGACCAAACCTTGGCTCTGGACCCCAGCAGCAAGCACACAGCAACAGCAGCACTGTTAGGACATGGTGGCTGAAATGACATCCCCCTCCAAGTCCTGGTCTGAGTCTGGCTGAGCAGGGACCATGCAAAGACCCTGTCCCTCTTTGTCCCTTGCAGGCCCAGTGTATAGAACCATCTCCTTTACCCCAGCTGTCCCTGGGGTCTTCATTCCCCTGTAGCCTGACCACTCCTGAGCCACTTGTATCACTGAACACCCAGGCATTGCCCTGCAGTCGGGGCTAAAAAGGGATATCATGCAGACAATGGCATCACCCTGAAGTCTGGGCTAAAAAGGGATATCATGCAGACAAAAGTTAGCAAGCTAAACCTTCCACACCTCTTAAACTGTCTGTCACTGCATGCAACACATGTAGGCTGAGCTGGATGTTGTCTTATGGGACAAAGCTGAATTCAATACCTTTTCATGATCTCACAGATGGCTGTGAAGTAAAGAAAGAGGAGGGACAGTCGGTAAGTATTATGGAGAAAAATATAGCAGCACCCAGTGCTGGACTACTTATACTGATGCCAGGTGTAATGGGTTTGCATCTTTAGTGAATTTATGGTGACCTGGGGTTTGGGGTTAATAGGGAGTGAGGTTTATACTGCAGAATGCTATTATTGTCAAGAGCTTATGTCTATTTCCTGCAAAAAGAAGAGATCCTTATCCTGAGCAGTTATCTCAACATTAGTCTGCAATTATGCTGGCTCAATTTTGAGGCCAACTGGTGCAACTTGGAGTGCTATCAACAGGTTTCTGACCACAAATTGCTCATGAAATAGCTGACTGCTACCATTGGGTGTTTTTATTTAGTTTGGGGGTTTGTTTTGTTGGGTTGGAGTTTTTTTCCCCCAAATCTTCCTGAAAGTTAAGATTCTGGTGAAATTAAAGAGATTTTACCTGTAAAGAGATTTCTTTCCTACTTTCAAGAGGTTTGAAGGCACTATGGTTGATGTTCACGTGAACATAGCTCCAGAAGTTAGTTTATCTAATGCTTCAACAGCAGGGAGCCTCCCTACAATTACACCCAGCCCCTGGAGGTCTCCCTTTTTACACTGCATGTATTAGATCACCTCAAGCCAGTCCTGGCACCTTGCAGTAAGTGCAAGATATCCTCCACTTCCACTCTGATTGCAGCACAAACAAAGGTGGTCACTATGCCCAGGATCTATTAGGGATATATCAGAAGAAGGAAGGCATTACTCAGACCGTTGAAGCTTATTCCTCACCTAAAGGGACACTAGAGCCTTTCATGTTTAACTATCACCACTCTGATGGCCATATAGATAGGAGACAGCTGTACCCATTCAACATGGAATATAATAAACCTCCATCTCATATAGATAGGAGACAGCTGTATCCATTCGACATGGAATATAATAAACCTCCATCTCAGTGACTGAATTGTTCCACAAAACACAGAAGTATCTGGTAACATTGCAGTTGCTGCTCCTTCAGAGATGTTTGTTGGGAAGGTAGTTTAGTCAGGGTCATGAAGCCACCAGAGTCAGAGGGTCTGCAGGGGTCTGTCCTGCCCTGCTTTCTGCAGAATAGTTTGTGCCTTGCTCCCAGGCTGCAAACTGCAGCAGACCCAGCAGATTGGTCTCACAGTGAATACTGACTACATTAAAATTACTTTTACATTTGGAAGAAACAAATCCCCTGATGAGGTGCTACAAGAATTTGTTTCCTCCACGTTAGTCATAGAAATGGCTTTTGATTGCCAGGCAGAGCTCCTCATTGCTCTGTGTGCTGGCTGTGAGCTCCAAAGGGATATTTATGATCCTGGCTGAATAGCCTGCTTGCTGTCAGCTCCAAAGTGCAGAGTGCTGTCTCCTTCCAGACTAATTTATACATTTACTATCAGCTATTTGTGACTGGGGAAATGCTCAACCCAAGATCTGGTTCCAGGCCCCCTGACATTTGGAGTATGACAACCACCTCTCCTTTCCACTTTCTAAAGACGTTTGGTGTATAACAACCACCTCTCCTTTCCACTTTCTAATTAGTCTCTGTCTCGAAAGCAAACAAATAAATTTTCATATATTTTTGAAGGGGAAAGGATAATTTATAAAAATCTTCCAGACTGCCTCTCTTTTAATCACTCCTGTAAGTAGGTATGGAGACAAATCAGAGCTACATTAATTAGTAGAAACTATGCAGATACTTCCCAGATGCCTCTGCTATGGCTCCAGGATTGCGTCAGTAACAGAGGCGACTTTCATTAGGAACCAGCAGGAAATATCTCTGGCTGTTCTCTCCCTCCCTCTGACTGAAGAGTGGCCCTGTATGAACTCTCTGTGGTGACACTGACAGCTCATTAAGTGGCTAATTCCAACACCCAGTTCTTTCAGAATTACCTGCTGTTCACAGCTTAAAATTTATTTTCATATTGCAGCTCCTCGAAAGGGCTGTGCTTGCCCTGGTGCAGGAGGACACTGTTCCCAGCAATGCCTCCTCCTTTTGCTGTGCTGGTGGCTGGTACTCTTTTCCAAGCAGCTGGTTCCTGCCAGTGAGAAGTGTAAAGCAGCAAGTGCACTGCAGACAACAGCTGGCTTGGAAGTTGGAGTGAAGGGGAGACTGGCAGAGGGGAGGGAAACCATCTCCACTTTACATGTCCAGGTGCAGCCTGCATTTTCCCTTGCTATTCAGGCACTGAAAACATATAGACCTGCAGGTGATATCTACAGGTGCTATAAGACTTCTTCCCCAAATGCCTTTTAAGGCAGGCATGGAGAGAAATTTGGTATCCATTAGCAGACAAAATTGAGAACCATTGCAGGTTAGGAAATACTGTAATATATACAAAAAATACAG